GCTGATCTAATAACTTATGTTTATATTTAAATAGAGTCTTGTTCACATAACATCAAGTATAAGTACATTATAAATTATGAATTCATGTTTATAATTTTTACAATATGTGCCATTGTACGGATGTAACAGTGTATACTGTATAGTGTCCACTGTAATAATAGGGGAGCCCAAGCGGGGATTTCGGGATTTACAGAAGTGCGGCAGATTAATAATACAGGGGGATACCTTGTACCCGGTTAAGTACTCCACCAAATATGAGCCCCATATATAAGGCCGCCTGTGAGGGATAAAGGATCAGATTAGTAAAAAAAAATGATCATCAGAAATTCNTGTATAAAATATAGCTTGTTGAAATAATATTTTGATTATCAGATTTACTTGACTATTACCTAAGGCCACATTGTAAAATTAATTTAAGACTAGCAACATAGTAAAATTAATTTAAGACAATTAAGACACAGGTACCTAGCAGAGGTATCTATGGTATAAGGATATCATCGTTAGTACCTTTGTGTATTTAGTTCATTCTTCCTCTTGAAGATGATCACTTCGTGATCGAAATACGTGTCATGGTGTTGAAATAACGGTTTGGTGTTGGGATAAAACTCCAGTAATATTCATATAGATATTCCATAACAAAGCATAACAATAGTCTAACTTACAAATGAAAAAAGTAAAGAATGCTATTTGCTTTCAAGTACTTTTTTGGAATTGTTCACTTCTGTCTACTTGAGTGTTTTTTCAAGGGTACCTATCTTGCTGGAAAGAGAAGTAGGTACTATTTTTTTATTCAAAATTTTCAAAATTAATAATCGGAGAAAACTAGCAAAGTTCTGAGGAAACATTGAAATAATAAATCATCAACAAATTGTTTCTCTCCTCTTGCAAAAGAAACTTAATAATTTATCTACCTACTGAGTGTACATTGATGTTCTCATTTCTTCTGTTTTTACGAATAAAACAAGATAAGGGCATAATTACGTTATCATAATGATCACAATGATATCCGTAAAATTATAAACAAATGTGAATTTGAACAATTTATTTATCTTCTTCAGATATTATGAAGATTTGCGAGTAAAATGTGCACGCCACTGTACCACTGATATGATGTTATTGTTTTAAACTAATTATAAACAATTCCAACTTAGAAGCTGTTTGAATACATCACTAGACTATGATCGACACTGGGATATCCCACATTGGTTGAAGATGTGATTTGAGAATGCCTAGGGTCTATGTTTAACGCCAAAGTCAATTTAACAAACATCAGAGGTTATTTCAAATTGATTGTTTTTAATTACTCCCCGTTTATGCAATCGAATACAATTTAACGTGTTGAACCCTTGTAAAAGGTAAATACAAAACATGTGACGATTTTTTGCTGGAAGTTCATAAAATATTCCAAACTAGAAGGCATCAAAAGATGGCATGATTGTGGGTACTCACCGTATAGTAGGAAAGCAGGCCTGAATTGTCGTCCAGAACAAACCATCGATATTGCCACCCCTTCATAACGTTTGTCCATTTGCTTAGTGAACCTTCCATTGCTTGATATTTTTTCAAATAGCACAAATTCACACCACATACACTAACATTACGACGATTGTTTGGTGACTAATTTGACATTTTATTTCCCTAGACGTTGACACTTGCGCCGATGGTTGTGTTTTTGATAGGCAACTTACAATACGTATCCACGAAGTGCATATTGCTCACATACTACAAACTAATAAGTCTTCGCATACATATTACAATTAGACCAATGCAAAAGCCTGTCAGAAATGCAAGAAAAGAAATAAAGGCATTCAATTATTAGAGAAGCTAGTGAAGTGGGGAAGGGTGAAATGGGGTAAATGTCAGGGGATGAAAATGATTTTTTATGATTTCCAGTGAAAACAGACCTACTGAAATAAACTGAGAACAAAAATAATGAAATTTTCTTAGAAAAATTGGAAAAACCGATGTTTTCCTTAACGATCTCCCGACGCGCGTTTCGCTAACCACGTTAACGTCCTCAGGAGGTCTACAATCATCCTTATAATGATCTCCTGAGGATGCTAAATTGGTTAGTACTCCAAACATTTGTTATTGAATCGAATCAGATATCAATCACAGAACTGCTACACAATATAGTAAATGAAAGAAGTAAAATTTCACTTACATGAAACACTGTCATCCTCATTGGCGAACATGCGATATTTCGGAAAAAGACACTTGCCTTATTGCCTCTTCAGTACTAATTTGGATAACATTACAAAATGAAGCACTCTATTGACTCCTAATATTACGACTTTATGTCACGGGTGAGATGAATCTACTTATGTCACTATGACAGATTTTTTTATGCGAGTGAAATTATATTTCTTTCATATACTTCATTGTGTAGCGTTTCTGTGAATGACATCTGATTCAATTCCATAACGAATGTTTGGAGTACGAGCTGAATATCAGAAAGTGTTAGACATGTAGGTACAGAAATTTCATTAGGACACAGTTGTCTGAATTTTTGGATATTCTGCCTCTAAGTGTTAGACGAAATTTGTGGTATAAGCTTGACGGGGCACCGATCCACCAAACGGTAGGTGGTCAGATGTTTAGAGGCAAAGTAATAGGACGAGATTGCGAAGATTATTGGCCACCTAGATCACCGGACTCATCTCCGATGAGGTTATCTGCAATAAAAAGTGTATGAGCACAAATCATTTGCAAACAAAGAACATTTGGAGAATACCATTCGGAAGTGTTGTGCTAACATAAATCTCCTATTAATTAAAAATGCCACAAAGCCTGTGAATGAAAGGACTCTAATTTATATAGAATGGTAAAGATGGCATACTGAATGGTGAATTCGGGTTCTTTATAAGATTATTAATTATTTATTTCGTAGGGAAAACTCATATTGCCATTCAACCACACTTCAGCAGACTTTATTGATTCGACTTTGTTCATTTTTCAGATAGTGAAATTGCAGTGTTGTTTCCGGTAGTAACATAGTAACGACAGTAACGACGTTTGCACTCACCAAGTTACGTTGTCACCCTTTTTGTTACATTTTAAAAAACATTCAACTGTGAGTTTACATCTTTCATCATTTTTGATACGTTCGTCAACGTCATTATCACTTTTAAAGATTATTCATCTATACTATAATTCCAAAATAGGAGGTACTAAATTCTCAGAAATGACTGACATTTTTTCCTTAATTTGTCTCTTGCAATGGCGTACGGAAATTATAGAATCACAACCTTGACAACAATGTTTTCGTTTTAATGCAATAATATTTCTGAGAATTTAATGCCTACTATTATGGAATTGTACTATACTAAAGATCCAAACTTTTGGGTACTACAAATCCATTTAACCACGGCCTATCAGCCCAGGTTTTGTTCTCTTCAATCGTGAATTCGGCCGTGAAATCCTATGTTCTTAAATTCATAAGCTAGTGTTGCCAACCTCTCACCGCGAAATACTGCACTTTGAGTGCGACTCAGTCAAAAGTCAAAATTTTCTGTCAAATCTTCTTTTTAATCTGTTGCAATTTTGTTTCGAGCAGAAACAACACTGTGTGTAAGGGATTGTACGTGGACTGTTGAAAAAATGAGGTGAATGTTCAAATTTTGCCGGCCACGTACATTCGATTATCGATTTTTTTTATTTTTTCATCTTGGTACATTCTTCTCGAACATATGTCCACAGTTTCAGCTGTTTAGCATGTTATGTTTGTTGGTGGGATACAAGTTAAACTTGTATACCTCCCGATGGTCCGAACAAGAAATTCTGTCAAACTCAATGTGTTTTGTCAATCATGTCCTACAACCTGTTGAGTTCATTTTCTAATACTTAATTACATACATATTATAGTTGTAATCATCTCATTTTATTAGTTTCAGCTGTTTAGCATGTTCAGTTTGTTGGTGGGAGGCATACTTGTCAAAAGAATTTTGCGTGTTCGGGGATTTTCTGCTATCGAAAAAAAAATTTGATAAAAAAATTGCCTCCAATTTCGTGTAAAAAATAAAGTCAAGAGCTCAAAAACACTTGAAATATTGACAATGGCATACGGTGACTGTACTGTGAGTCAGAAAAATGTTTACAAGTGGTACAAGCTTTTCATAGATGGTCGAGAAGATGTGAATGACGATGCTCAGTTTGTAAGCCCCAGCATATTAACCAATGAAAATATTGAGGAAGTGAAAAAAATTGTTATGGATAATCGTCGAATCACTATGAGAGAAGTTGCTGAGGATGTCGGCATATCTTATTAAGCCTGTGGCGGCATAGTTCGTTCCAAAATTGCTGAATTTTGACAAAAACACCGTCGCATGAGCATTGCTCAGGAGTTGTTGAATGACGTCAACGGCGATACAGATTTGCTTGAAAGGGTCATATCTAGTGACTAATCATGACATCGAAAAGCCCAGGAGAGCTAAGATCAAAAAGAGCACGCGAAGTTCGATCAGATATCAAGGTTTTGCGCTTACTATTTTTTTCGATTACCGTGGCTTAATGCATCAGGAGTTCTTGCCACATGGTCGTATGGTCAATGAGGAGTAACTTGAAGTTATGCACCGCTTGCGAGAAGCAATACAAAGAAAACGTCCGGTATTGTGGAAAAATAATTCATGGCTTTTGCATCACGGTAATGCATCTGCTCACTCGTGATTGCTTGTTCGTAATTTTTTGCCAAAAGCGACACCGTAATCATGCCTCAGCTACCATATTCACCAGATTTGCCTTCTTGTGACTTTTTCCTGTTTCTAAAAATAAAAAGACCCATGATAGGACGGCGTTTTGCGACGATTGAAGAGATAGAAAGCAATCCTCGAAGCAGAAGTGCTGAAGAGGTTCCAGTTTCATCTTTCATAAATGCTCACTTAATCAATGACTATTTTTCAACCGTGCTTTTTTTCTTGGGATCTCAATAGATTATGCTGTTAGGATATCATATAGATTGCCCAATTTATTATGAAATCAGATGAATTAATCTTAGAATAAGGTCAAAAGATTGAAAATAGAAATGGAAATGNACGTTCTAAGTTTTCCGAAGACTCGGTTTCCATGACTTCGTCTTGTAATGGGTCAATTACGGGAATCTAGAAAAAAAATTAATCCATCTAATTTAGGAAGATCAGGGTTACTCAAAGGGTTAATTTAAGTTTAGCATGTAATTTAAAAAAACAAAACTTTTCGTCGTTTCATCGAGAGTCACAAATCAGTCGAATAACTGAGCTAACATAACCTAACTGAGCCAGTTAGGTTATGTTAGGTTAGGTTCAAAGTGAGTGGGGCTATTCGTACCTCCACCGCAACCCACAAGGGTTTATTGGGGCTTATACCTATTCACACTCAACCAAATAAACCTAGCTTCTTAACGAAGCCGATTAGTTTGTATGGTGAGTGGTCTTACAGGTCATATGGTAAGAGTACGGCTCTGCCGAACTCTGTAAACCTGATTCGGTACCCATCGGGGCAGGCACAAAGTATGTGCTCTGCTGTTTCTTCATTTTCCAAATAGATACTACACACCCAGTCTTCCGACCGTCCGAGTCTCTGCATATGATGATTCAAATGACAGTAACCTGTAAGAAGGTCTGTTAGACATCGTAGTTCATCCTTACTGTAGTCCAACAGTTGTTTGGTATCAAACTTCGAAGGGTGAATAAACGCCTTGGAGTGAGGTTGGATTCTGCACACAATTCAATAGCGTAAATTTCCGCTTGAAATACAGTCGCATATGTTCCTAGGCAGGTTGATGCCTCTGTCCTGGGTGTGCGACTGAAAACACCTGCACCAGAACCGGAAGGTGTTGTTGATCCATCTGTGAACCAACAACTATCTGCTCTTAATATCTCCCGGAGGATTCAGTCTTTCTACTCGGGAACAGTACTTTATAAGGCAGTTCGTAGTTGACAGTTGGAGGCATAAAGTCAGAGGTCATTTCCAGAATGCTGTGACAGAACAGGCAAATTCTAATTACGTGTGTAAATAATGAGTCAGGGTACCATTGGATGCAGAATTGAACGTCAATCAAAATGATGTGCCACTTGACCCCCCCTTCCCATTTAAAATTAAAAGGGTAACATCTACCCCTCGTAGGGGTTTGGACCACTAAGTAATAGGCACCCTTTTTTCTTGATGTCATGTAAGCAAAAATCGCAACAAGCTACCGCCTGGAAAAATTATTAGGTAATGTCCGGTTCAACTGTGAAAAACTTTCATACATTTGTCTTCATGAATGCATTCACTCCGACAAATTTTGATTGGTAAGAGAGTACAAGTTCTTCATCTTCCACCCATTCAATAACTTTTCTAATGAACATCATTACTGCTTTACTATAGCAGTACTGAGTAATAGGAGCATATTCGTTTTTCCAAATGACATGTTCGTTGTGGTAGTGTTCGTCTAGAATATTCTGAAACTAGTGTTCTTAATTTTTTATTATGTATCTAATATATTTGGTGATTTTCAAATGACAATTTTTTAAACACACTGATAACTTGCTTTCGAGCTGTAAAGAAGGATTTGAGCAAATTCGGAAAGTTGACAATTTTTTGTCANTCTATAAACTAGGTATCTGTAGATGTTTCAACTTATTTGAGTACCCTTTAATATATTATAAGGTTTTTATGGTTGATAAGGGGGATGTTTATGAAATGACAGATTTGCTTCACTCAAAAAAGTTTCATTACTAGTGAAATAACGATTGTATTATACATTGTATTACATCGAGATCCTATTTTGAATTTGAGATCAAGGAGTGAAGTTATCAAAAAATATTTCATAAAACAGTTGTATATATGTAAATCATGCTCTGAAGAGCCGCCACCGGTAGCCATGAATCAATTGTGACATAGCTGAGAGCGCGCGAATGTACAATGTTCGCTGCCGTTCTAGATTTAGAGAGAATAATGCTACCGGCCTCGTTGGAATTCCAAGGAATGTTTCGACGCCTTCGATTGCCACATCTAGGCGCCACTCGCCCATCGAGATAGTCAACTGGAAGTGACAGTGCGGTACGCGAAGCGATCTAATAAGGCGATAGGCATTCCAATAAAAGTTGAAGTTTTGGTTGAAGTGTTTGTTACATTTGAAGTGAAATAAAGTTGAGTTTCATTATTTTTCAGTGTATTCAATTATTGGTGAACCCACGGAGAAACACGTAACAATAAAAATACATTGGACTCTTCAGGAATATTATCCAACATACAAGGTACGTACCTAGTAGAAGTGTGGCGTAACAAAGTTAGGGTTTTTTAAAAATATGATGGCACTTATTACTCTTTTATTCGGATTCCATCTGAGAAGTAATTTCAAAAAATATAAAACTGTTCAGGTATATACCAAGAGTTTCAGAAGTTATTCTAAAAATAACGTCAAAAAATGTATCTTTTTATCTGACATTTTCAATTAGATTCCATTTGAAAAGTTCATTTTTGAAATAATGAATAATAATTGTACCGAAATGTTTTTTTACGAAATTGGGTGAATGGTAACTCAAAAAGATCTTTTCCTTGGTTTTCTAAAATGGAACACACTTTATTTTATTTTATATTTGATTTTCCCGCTAGAAGTGACCTATATAGAGTGTCATGGACATTTTATTGACAAAGTTTGAATTCTCAGGAAAAATAATATCAAATGACTGTTTTCTTCATTGTTGAGAAGTAATTTGACTGAATAACTGGAGGATATTTTTCATTAATTCATTAAGAAAACTTCATTCGTTTCACGTTGTGATTTTATAGAAACAATTGTTTTTATATTTTCTGTTTGACCTGACCCATTTTAGTTGGAAATAAAATGATAAAATAGAAAGGTTTTTCTGATTGTCACCTTTGATTCTTCAATTTCACTCGCGGAATCTTCTAAATCCTCTTCGAGATAACCTTGTCTGTCAACTTTTCCTGTGAAAGAAACTCGTGTTTCGATAACATTCGAAGCGGCAGTTTCTTCAACATTATCTTCAGAATTGGCTTCAGCTGCTTCAACAAATGCAGAAGATAGTTCTCCACTCAGTTTGGTGACATTTTGACTAACTACATCGTACATGAATATTTCCCTTTCTTTGATGTTGCCTTCAGAAGGACTGAAAAAAAATTCATATATTTTAAACTCGTATCTAGTTCAATGCAGTAATAAAATATCAAATGTTACTCAAATAAATGTAAATGTTCACTGGAGAAAGGTTGGTTTCGTAACAAGATACATTTTTTCTTTGAAAAACAATTCGTTTTTGCCAACATTTCGATTTTAATTGAATTCTTCTTCAGGGCTCGAAAAGTAGTTTCTTCGTGTTGATATTACTATTTTAAAAACTGTTAGACATATGAGATACATTAAAAAAATAGAGAAATTGCAACAACTGAATTTTCGAGACAACACCAACACAAAACGACATGAAAAAAATGACATGAAACAAACAACAAACTTTCGTATGTTTCATGGTGGTGTTGTCTCGAAAATTTGGTTGCTGCAATATTTTTTAATTTTTTGTATATGTATATAAATATGTCCAATGGTTTTTAAAATAGTAATATTAACATGAAGAAACTAGTTCTCGAGCCCTGAAGAAAAATTTAATTGAATTCGAAATGGCGGCAAAAAACAATTGTTTTTTTTAAAAAGCAATTGATCCTGTTATCCAATCAACCTTTTTTCAGAAAAATTATTGTTGGATCACTAAACTAGGTATCTGTAGATGTTTCAACTTATTTGAGTACCCTTTAAAATATAAGGTTTTTATGGTTGATAAGGGGGATGTTTATGAAATGACAGATTTGCTTCACTCAAAAAAGTTTCTTTACTAGTGAAATAACGATTGTATTATACATTGTATCACATCGAGATCCTATTTTGAATTTGAGATGAAGGAGTGAAATTATCAAAAAATATTTCATAAAACAGTTGTATATATTGTTGTAAATCATGCCCTGAAGAAAATAACGCCGGCCGCCACCGGTAGTCATGAATCAATTGTGACATAGCTAAGAGCGCGCGAATGTACAATGTTCGCTGCCGTTCTAGATTTAGAGAGAATAATGCTACCGGCCTCGATGGAATTCCAAGGAATGTTTCGACGCCTTCGATTGCCACATCTAGGCGCCACTCGCACATCGAGATAGTCAACTGGAAGTGACAGTGCGGTACGCGAAACGATCTAGTAAGGCGATAGGCATTCCAATAAAAGTTGAAGTTTTGGTTGAAGTGTTTGTTACATTTGAAGTGAAATAAAGTTGAGTTTCATTATTTTTCAGTGTATTTAATCATTGGTGAACCCACGGAGAAAAACGTAACAATAACAATACATTGGACTCTTCAGGAATATTCTCCAACATACAAGGTACGTACCTAGTAGAAGTGTGGCGTAACAAAGTTAGGGTTTTTTAAAATATGATGGCACTTATTACTCTTTTAT